AACTGCCAGCTATCTCAAGCTGCTCCACACACTGTCGGCAGTTGTGGATCATTATCACGCTGGCACTACCGCGGATCATGCCTTCCTCCTACAGATGGAACCTTCCAGGACGTCTTCATAATATGAACACATAACGAACATAAATTTCGCACCGATGTTCGTGGGGCTAAGGCCCTTAAGCCCTAAGCACAACACTCTAATCAAACACTGAAGACTCTAAAGTGCTCACCATTTATTTGGATCTTAACGAACACACGAACTACTCAATACAATAGGATGAGAGCACGCCGGCCAAATGTCACCTAGGGGCCGATAGAAAGAAAACCCCAGGCGTAGGTGCTCCCCTGCCCTCGGCAAGCAAGGAGCACGCAACCGGGTACCCCGAGGCGACGGGCCAGTCTTCCTTGCTTGGTGATGGTCTTTGCGTGTTGAGGAAGCGCGCACTGCTTGATCGATCAATAGTTGGAGTGAGTTGAAGCCGACCGCTTGCGAGTAGACTCATGTGACGTACGTGATTTTGGTAAGTTGCGGCATAAGTAGCGAGCGAGAGGGCGGGGCAGCGCGCGAGGACTGGCGTTTTGGGACCCTCTGCGCGGTGGCGGTGGACTCCCTTGAAGAAGTCGCACAATTCGCGACATTCAGTACGCAGAAAATCAGAAAATTCTATATTTGGGGCATACTGAATAATGTTAAAAAATTGATAGTTTTGAATTCTTTTTTTTCCTTTTCGCAATTTTTTTCTCCAAAGCCTTTTATCGTATTTTATACTATTAGTTTGTCGCTAAAAGGTAGACCACTTATCGCTGGATAGTCAAATACAAGGTTTTGGACTAAAAACCTTTTATGTTTGTCAATCCATAATTTTTGTCTGCTTGTGATGTAGGTACAAGCGAATATGCCCTGCATTACAAAAGATTTGCTGCTTTTGGTGTTTTTTACCGGAATGTTGGAATTCAGGAATGTTGGTCTTTCCATTATAACATGCCAAAGTGAAAATTTGCAAAACGGCCATTATTTTTGCATCAACCTAATATACAGGGTGTCCCAAAAAAATGTACTCACTGTTTGGTTGTTAATAACTCTCTTGTAATAAAGTCTTTTAATAAGCTTTGAGTACCGTTTTGTAGAGCTTCAGCTTAGATTTGCAGTGTAGAACGGATTACTGATCGCTCTTCATTACTGTAGGATTACGGAAGAAACTTCAAGTATATGGTGTATTGTAAAAAAGCTGCCGTTTCAAAAATTTTCAAGAAAAATGTGAAAACTTACGTAATAGGGTTTTGGTGGACGGTGAGTTTAAAACTCGACTAAGTACAAGATTTTAAGTTTTTTAAACAGTGTAACCGCAGTTTTTAGGAACACAAAACGGCAACTACTGCTTATCTCGCATAACTTTCTAATGAAGCATCATGATAAATTGCGAATTTTACATTTAGAATCAGCAACTATAATTAGCCCAGTGTGGAAGTTTTCAGGCTGTTTTGTTTTCTTTCTGAGGCAAAATATGACCTTTAATGGCGCAAAACCCTCCTCAAAGTTCCTACTGTAATCCTACAGTAATGAAAAGAGAACGGTAATTTGCTCGATACTGCGGATGTAAGCTGAATCTTGCTCTACAAATTAGTACTTGAAGCTTGTAAAAAGACTTTATTACAAGAGAGTTATTAACAATCAAACAGAGGCACATTTTTTGGAACACCTGTATATATAGGGTGTCCCAAAAAATGTACTCACTCTTTGATTGTAAATGATTCTCTTGTAATGAAGTGTTTCGGGAAGCTTCAGATACCATTTTGTAGAGCGAAGTTCAACTTGATTTACAGTATGGAGCGAATTACCGTTCTCTTTTCATTACTGTAGGATTACGGTAGGAACTTTGAAGAGGGTTTTGAGCCATGAAAGGCCGTATTTTGCCTCAGAAAGCAAACAAAACAGCCTGAAAAGTTTCACACTGGGCTAATTAGAGTTCCTGATTCTAAATGTAAAGTTCGCAGCTTATCACAATGCTTCAATAAAAAGTTATGCTAAGTAAGCAGTACTGGCCGTTTTTCCAATGCTCCCGAAAATTGCAATTATACCGTTTAGAAAGCTTCGCAACCTTGTACATGATTAAGTATTGAACTCAGGGTCCATGGAAACTCAATTACACAATTTTTCACATTTATTTGAGGATTTTTATCGCAGCTTTCACAGTGAAACCATATGTTTCAAGTTTCTACCGTAGTTCTACAGTAATGAAGAGCGTTCGGTGATTTGCTCCATATTGTAAATCTAAGTTGAACCTCGCTCTACAAAATGGTACCTAAAACTTTCCAAAACACTTCATTATAAGAGAGTTATTTACAATCAAAGTGAGTACATTTTTTGGGACATCCTATATTAGGTTGGCCCGAAAGTTTTGTCGCACCATTTCCAGATACTAATAACTCCTGAGTTTCCCAATCAGTTTGGTTGCATTCATTCCTATTTGAAAGAGCAAATCGTTTTCTTCATAAAGATATTCAAGCGGCTTCTCAATGAGCATACATTATATGGATAGAGCTGGTAGAAGAAAATCATTCAAATTTTGAATTTTCTGTGTGGGTCATCAAAAATCTGAAACTGGCAATAAAAATCAAAGCTGACAGTATTATAGTTTCTATTACCTGCCTTTTCTGACTGTGCAAGATTTGTGCTGATTGACCGTCTCAATAAGAAGTTGTGATTTTCGAGAAAAATGCAGAAATGAATCAAATTCGCCCTTTTGTATTGCTTGCTCAAAAATCATAACTTTTTATAGAGACGCTCAGCCAGCACAGAATTTGCGCAGTCAGATGAAAAATTCGTAATCCCTAGGTGGTCGCATTCGCTTGCGGAAATCATCAGTTGAAAGAAAAATCCATCTGGTTTTCAACACTATCTTTGCGGCTCTTTAACAACAGGTGCTCCAGAGATAAATTCAGAAAAGGAAAGTCACTCAAAATCCCAATTTTGGAGAACAAATCGTCAAAAATCAGATACACCGCAGAATATTCTGAAAGCATGTTTTCTATAAGTTTTGTGAGCTGCTCTTTTTAATGTTGCCAAGATTGTGTCAATCGAGCTTTTCTACGAAAAGTTATGGTTTTCGTGAAAAATGCAGAAAAATGGGTGCTGCAAAACCTAATCTACAGTCGAATATATTTTACACTCAATATACTGAGCTTGCGGAGAATGGAAAGAGCGGTAAAATTTGTGTGTAAACTAGCTAAACAAGACTTGCGCGCTCCAACTGCAATTCAAGCGTATCTATTCGTTCACGCGCAAAGTTTGCCGCATTTTCTTGGCACCGCAAGCACGGAAAAATCTCTCAATTGTGAATTTTTTTTGGAGTGGAGAGAGTTGGCCTTTGGCCTAGTGCCAATTTCTGATCATTGTCCGAAGTTCAGGATGATATGGAAGCAGTTATATGAAAATCCCCCCCCCCCTCCTTCCTGCGTATGCTAGACGCGGAGGTGCGAGAACTTACGCATGGCCGTGGGTGTTCATTCCTTGCATTTCGGAATTGCTTATCATATGAAAAGCCACTCACTCGTTATCACCGTGCTCTCCCCTCCCTCATGATTTCCACCCCGAACTCAAGACTTGGAAAGAAGTTATTTCAAAAATGACTATATACTACTACGACCATAATTCACCGTGCTCTCCCCTCCCTCTTGATTTCCACCCCGAACTCAAGACTTGGAAAGAAGTTATTTCAAAAATGACTATATACTACTACGACCATAATTAGCATGCTTGCTTACTCCCCTCCCTCTTCTGTGGCGCTCTAGCCACGTCGTTCTGAGTTTGCAAAAGACACTAATCGATGCGGAAAAATAGCCTACGACACACACCTCGCCCCATGTGTATGCAAGCGAACTTTGGTCCACATCGGTTTAGAATGGAATTTTCTTACGGAACATACGTACAGACGTACACGCAGACATTGAGCTCTATTTTAAGATATGATAGTCATCAGCACATTCTTGGAGCATTCAAAACGATTAGATACTTTTTTCTATTTGAGCAGTTTGTCAAAAAGATAAAGCGGTTACCATTTGAAGAAACCCATGTGTTATGTCAAACTGTACATTTTCTTCAAAAGTAGGAGATGGGATGGTGGACTTTCAGGAAAAAATAACGTGTGGTAATTTCTCTTTTACAACTTTTCCAAGATGGCCGTCGGGCGGATCCTGTCCACAAGAAGACTGCGTCTATTTCAGCGCGCGAGCCTTAGTTTGGCGCTGGCTGTACGACTTCAATTACCTATTCTAAACCAATAGGACGACTTGCGCATTATCTTGTTCAGTGCAAAAATTGCAGAAAAAGATTTTTTGTACCAAAATCGTCCTTCATCTAAACAATCACTACAAGCTTAGTTCTGGAACATTCACAACACCTCAGTATCGGTTTCTTTATGGGATACAGAGCGAGTACAGGTCCAGCACGACGAGAAGACTGAGAAACTGCAAAAAGGTCGGCATGGAGGGTCCACCTTAAAGGCAGTGTCCCACCAGATTGGGAGTATCTGGTTCTCGTAATGATGTGATAGTAGACCCCCTACCTAAGCGATGACTGAAGTTCGGAGCGAAAAAGGGGGTCTACCAAGCCTGAAATTTGCTCCGAAAGTGGGCCGAATCTTACGGTAGGGCCGAACGCCGCCCACACGGCAATATCGATTTGCAGGGCCAGAGTGCGTATAGCGCACACATCATGAGTGCAGGGACCCGCAGCAACCCTGCGTCTCTACCTTGCGTTCACCTCGCACTCGCCCGTTCCTACCGTAAGATTTGGCCTACTTTCGGAGCAAATTTCAGGCTTGGTAGACCCCCTTTTTCGCTCCGAACTTCAGTCATCGCTTAGTTAGGGGGTCTACTATTACATCATTACGAGAGCCAGGTACCCCCAATCTGGTGGGACGCTGCCTTTAAGTTCATCTTGTTCCTCAAATAAGACTGTAATTACATCGTTTTCAATGTGACATTTTTCTTCAATTTCAGGCGTATGCCCCGTATACAAACGAACATGATGCAAAATGGCTACAAACTTCTGGCAAGGTGATAACAATAAAGTGCTGCTATGTCCTTATCTGCTTTGGTTTCTTAAATAATAAAGAGTCAGTAATGGGCAACAAGATGCGCTAAAGAATTTACAAAATAGTGAAGTAAGTTTTGGGCTATCGAGTCTTTTGATTAGGAATTTGCAGCTGGTCGTAATAATGACTATTGATACTAAAATGAGCGGCAAAAGTCTCCAAAGCTGGCTTGCAAGAGAGCAGTATCATACGGCTTTTTCTTGGCGAAGTCTACACGCTCTCAGACGATTGTCAACAGTTCTGATGGAATGCCGGTGAAGTTACCGTTCATATCTGACAGGGTAACGCGGCGATTAGAAACTAAACTGATATAAGCCCAACTGGAACGAGATGTATTCCTTGTGAATATACCGCGGAGCAACATCAAACGAGAACTTGTATTTAGTAGATTATATGACAAGGTTGTACCACATGAATGCATTATCTGCCCTTACGTGTAAACTTGGGGACTGTGTCGTATCTGAAGCATGCCTAGACTGGTTATTAACCATATTGGTGAGAGGTCGACGATTGCGTGTACGCTCAAATAAACAAACGACTGGTAAAACGTGACGGGAAGTAAAGCGACGCCCCAGCACAGAAGAGCAGATCATCAAAGTTGAGAATTCAATGTTAAGTGCTCAATCTAGCCATGGAGGACAAAATATCCGCTGGCAGAACCTTGGAAGCGTCGTTCCATCTTATCCCGTAAACCTGAGACGAATGGCAGAAACGAGCATTGACTCCACATGAATAGAATGGGCAAATCTGGAGAAGTGATTTGATTTGAAGTGTCCCATCAGGTGAATGACTCAAATCTAGGTTTTGAGGAAAGTATTATTGCCGAAACGTTAGGTCGAACAAACTGTTCATCCAAACCTGCATGGCACAGAAAGCACAAGATATGCCCCTTTATAAAGCCCAGGTTTTAGGAACAGAGATATGAAATATCAACCGCAACACTTTCAACTGTCAACACTTTCAACATCACCAACACTTCTAAAAAAGCCAACACCTTCAAACTCTGACGTTTATTTTGAGATCGCGTACATTGCGTAATGGGGCCAGCGTCGCATACTGCAGTCACACACCTACGCGCAGGCGCCACCGTGGGCTGCAACGTGCAGGGAGCATTCCGCGCAAAGCGCGTGGTCCTTGTTTTTGCCACCCTTGCTGCTTCTTTCTTAATTTATTCGCTGCCCTGCTTTCAAACTGCTGAGCTTTTTCTGTCTAAAACCCTATTTCGGTACTTCTAAGTTTTTCCGAAGTATCACCGCGCAAATGTAAGACAAAATGAAGGTTTGAGTTCTAAAAGAAGAGGTAATCTAAATTATTTCATTTGAGAATTCTGACGTAAGAACATCTGGTGCTCTTCCTTTTTAAGCTAAAGGTGAATATGTGAGGCGTAATCTTATATCGTACTATCGTACAGGTTGAGGAAACAGTTTAAGTTGAAGCGCGGTGGCGCTGTACTCAAACCTAAACGATATACTATTATGTCCGCTGATATGAGTCGATGTAATGATGCATGACATTCAGAACCAGCCATCCGAAGAAAACCTGGATGAAATGAAAGACGTCACGAGAAAAAACGCTTAAAGATCTGATATATCAAGGTCGAGTTAATCTCTCTATCCTTAGTTTCTTCCTTTGCTATAACAGTTTCTGACTAAATCTTTATCGTTATATCATTATACTATGAATGTGGGGGAACATAATTGAGGAGAGGACCACCGAGCACCCGGGGAGGCCAGTCATCTAAAGTCAGTGGCACCGCCCAGTCGGCATGGGGACTGTCGGACCATCTTATTAGTCTGCGTTTCGACATGTCCATTCCATGGCAAAGCTCGTCCTCGAGCTTTGAAGTTGGCCATGGTTGCTTTAGGGTTGTCATCATTGGATTCGTCTGGACGTTGAACATATGCACATTGAACGTTGAACGTTGCCCATTTGTATAATTGAGAGCTGCCCATTACCATTTGTTGCTTTGGTTGGAGGCGCGACTGCTTCAAGCTTTGGTTGCTGGATTGTTTCTTCACAAGACAAGGGAAAAGGGTTTATGGTTGGAGGCATTTTCGCACGCCCTGTCAGAAGAAAGAGCTCGTCTCGAGCTGAGGAAATTGAAGCAACATGAACTTTGAATGATGAGCAAATTGGGGTACGGTGAGGCTACCGTAATCGTGAGGCGGATAAGGACTTCCGCATGGTGGTAAAATGTAACATAAGGAGGCGGATAAGACTGCACTGGTGACGAATTGTGATCTATGGGTATGTGATGACATCCGTAAAAAAATAGTGAGCAGTGTTGTAGAAAATGAGATTATTGGCATGGAAAAGCACATAAATTGACAACAGATAGCAGAGTAAAGTATGTTCGAAGACGGAAGGGACGGAAATCGTATTTCGAACATTTGTCGTTACAGAACATGATAAGCTATGATATGGACGTATAATTCCACAACATAATTTGATAAATTCTGAACAACTTGCAGGCAACTTAGAAGGGAAAACTTCCCTAACGTTGATTACAAGGCGTTGGTGAAAAGTGATTGACTGAAAGCTTTCTCCAAGCCGCCAGTCAGAGAAGCCTTCCATGTCATAGTGCGGTTGCTTGCGGGCAAACTTGCAGCTATCAACTTGCAGTTTCTTTAACGCAGCAGCTATTGTGCCAATAGCTGCTGCGTTAAAGAAATTTGTGAGGCTGCTATTGGCACTTCTCACTCATTATGAGAGAGACCAATTCGTTCCTTGTCTCAGACGCTCTGAACGTCTGAGATTAGGGCGGAACCTTTTCTGGAAATCTGTTTTGCGAAGATAAACATAAATGATTTTTTTTGTATTTTTTTGATTGGAATAGCACAATGATAAATACAAAAATGCACAAAATTGTCATGAATACAGTATAATGATAGAACAATGAAAGCTAACAAGGGAAGGATGATTGGTCGAAGTGACCATTTGGAATGAGCTGTATACTAGGGAACCGTCCTCGGTAAGACAAACTCAAAACTACTTTCGCTAGGTGCCAAGCGTTTTTGTGGGGGGGGGGGGGGAGTTACAAGGCCATTTTCCTCCGGCGCAGCCGGCGCACCCAGTGATGAGCGAGGCGCTAGAACAACGCAGCAGTGTGGCGGTGGCGCAGTGGCAAGACAGCGGACTACCAGATGGTCGAGGGTTCGAGTCTCGTTGCTGCTGTTTTGTTTTGCAGCTCTGTAAAAAGTCTACTGGGTGACAGTAAACGAAAAATACTCATTTCTAGGCAGTTGAAACAAGCTATTTACTACAAAAAATTCACCATTTTAACAATAAGCTATAATCTTCTACAATATGTAAATCTGTAGAGGTTATGATGTCACAACAATGGCAAATGATATATTAACATGTATGGAATACAACCACAAAATGCTCAAACCAGAAGAGCTTCTCGCAGCGCGCGCACTTGCAAAATTGCAATCGATTCACATCCCATGTATTGGCTCTCGATCTGAACTTTACCTTGAATCATAGGGATTCCATCCTTAAGATCTTATTGCTCACTAGCTGGCTTACCCGGCTCCGCCGTATGTTCCGAATAGAAAATTCCATTTCTTAATCTATCCGAATCAAACTTGGTACACATACACTTCGGGCCCCGGCGGGTGTCATAGACTACTTTTCGTCATCGATTGATATCGATTTTATCGATTTTTTGCAAAATTTGAGCTAGGGGGCTGGGATTTGGCACAGGGGGTAATCGAGCATGCTGATTACGAAAACAAAATTAGTTTTCGAAACCGTGCATTACTTTAATCGATTTTATCGATTTTTTTGCCATCACCCCACGGGGGTGATCAGCATGCTCGATTACCCCCCTGTGCCAAATCCCAGCCCCGTAGCTCAAACTTTGCAAAAAAATCGATAAAATCGATAAAAGTAATGCACGATTTTAAAAACTAATATTGTATTCGGAATCCCCATGCTCACTTACCCCCCTGTGCCAACTCCCAGCCCCGTAGCTCAAATTCTGCAAAAAATCGATAAAATCGATATCAATCGATGACGAAAAGTAGCCTATGACACCCGCCGGGGCCCGTAGTGTATGTATGCCAAGTTTGGTCCGGATCGGTTCAAAAATGGAATTTTCTATTCGGAACATACGTACAGACAGACAGACAGACATACAGACAAACAGACATTCAGCTTTATATATAAGATTTACATACAGTTTTGCTCGCCGCGATTCAAAAATCTCCTTTCATACCATGGCATGCAGCCGGATACATTGATAACCACCCCGGCGAATTCGAGTCTCCTATTCTGTGCTGTTTTTCACCGATTTTGATAGGCGTGAAGCTGCTGATCGTCATCGTTTATATTTTATCGATGTGCGCGCTGCGAGAAGCTCTTCTGCTTCGAGCATTTTGTGGGTGTATTCCGTACATGTTAATACATCATTTGAATCCATTGTTGTGACATCATAACCTCCACAGATTTACATATCGTAGAAGATTATAGCTTATTGTAGAAATGGTGACTTTTTTGCAGTAAATAGCTTGTTTCAACTGCCTAGAAATGAGTATTTTTCGTTTACTGTCACCCAATAGACTTTTTACAGAACTGCAAAACAAAATAGCAGAAACAGGACTCGAACCCTCGACCACCTGCTTCGTAGTCCGCTGCCTTGCCACTGCGCCACCACCACACTGCCGAGTTGTTCTAGCTCCTCGCTCATCACTGGGTGCGCCGGCTGCGTCGGAGGAAATTGGCCTTGTAACTCCCTCCACAAAACCGAAGCTGGCCTAAGCGCAAACTAGGCAGTATTGTATTACTGCTTGAAACGAATACAGCTAAGCTTGGGACATCTCCTGGCGCCTATATTCCAATCAAGATTAGATAATGACGCTTTCAATGAGCGTGACTAGGAATGGGGCCTCTGGTAATCCCATAGGCTATAACATAGCCTATGGAGTACCATAGGCAACATAGCCTACGGACTATCCACACACGCGTCTAGATCGCTTGTGG